TGAGAGGACAGATGAGGACATGAGAGGACAGATGAGGACATGAGAGGACAGATGAGGACATGAGAGGACAGATGAGGACATGAGAGGACAGATGAGGACATGAGAGGACAGATGAGGACGTCCAGAACGTCTGCAGTCTTTTACTGTTCCTAAAAACTTGATCAATAAAGTTGTGTTTGAAGGAATCAGCTTCTTCCTTTCTGTCAGACTCTGCAGGTTCTGGTCCACGGCGAGGGCCCCGACGTCACTCCGGTTAAAGTGTTGAACTGTGACACCATCACCCAGGTGAGTGTCTCAGGTGTTCCTGCTCTGTGGAGGCGTTCAGGTTCAGACTCACCTTTGTGTCCCCGCAGGTGAAGGAGAAGATCATCGATCAGGTCTACAGGAACCTGCCGTACTCTCAGAGACCCAAAGTGGAGAACGTCGCTCTCGGTGACACACGCTGGCACTTTTTATTCGTCTCCTCCAGGCGGAGCGAGTACAGGTAGAGCGAAGGTGAACGTGTGTTTCTGTCCGTCCACAGAGTGGCGTCCCGGCTCCACGGGTCAGATCTTGTCCGACCTGGACCTGACCACCCAGAAGGAAGGACGGTGGAGGAGACTCAACACGTTGGCTCATTACAACGTGAGTTCTGCTGCCTCTTTCCTCACCTGTTTCAGGATGAGTTAAGCCCCGCCCCCTGCCTTTTTAATGGAGGCGGGACACGTTAAAGAACAAAATTAAATCAATTCCAGATTGTTTTAACTTTTATTAACCTGTTTCTCCGTTTGTCCTGCAGGTCCGGGACAACGCCACGTTAGTTCTGTCCAGAGTTCTGCACACGCAGTCCTTCCATCAGCACCAGGACAGCCATGATGAGAGTACGTCCTGATAGGCCCCGCCCCCTGAGAGAACACCCTGATTCAAGATGGCCGCCACAGCTGTTATAAAAACATCTTTACTGTTAGGTTTGGTAGCTGAGAGTCATCCTCTGAGGGTTAGCAGAGGAAGGCGGCCATCTTGTATTGGTTGTGACTGAACAAAAGCTAAACTGTGATTTTGAGGATGTTGTCCCACAGACGTCTCCATGTTTTTACGCCACAAAGCATTCTGGGTAAATAAGACGCCTAGCTCCTCTGGTGAGCGTTGACAGAGGAGAATATAGAAATGACTCAGCCTGAAACTGAAGAGAAGGATGGAGGAAACAGAGCTGCTGCATGGAAGGAGAAACTTAGCTTAGCCTGTGAGCTTTAGCATTAGTTACAGAGCTAATTTATATGCATGTTGATATATGGCGTTAGCTCTAGAGCTTACAGCTAATATATGGCATTAGTTCTCAAGCTAATAGCTTTAGCTTTGGAGCTAATGCTAATTAAATTAGCTCTGGAGCTAACACCACCTATATTAGTAATATAAAAAGCGTTAGCTCCTGAGCTAATTTAAATAACATCACATTTGATCATTTCAACCTTTGTGTTTTAGTCTCAACTGTTATCTATCATCCCCACAATGCTTTGCGTCAACAAAATGGCAGATTTTTAAGTAATTAGATGTTTTCGTGTGTGAAAAACAACTTTTAGTAGTTTAGAGAAATAACTAAACCTAATATGTGACGACAGTTGATCCCTTTAACTTTCCGTCCATCTGTCTCTTTGTCTCTGTCTTTTTGTCTGTGTCTCTTTGTCTTTTTATCTCTGTCTTTTTGTCTGTGTCTCTGTATCTTTTTGTCTCTGTCTTTTCGTCTGTCTCTGTCTCTTTGTTTATTTGTCTTTTTGCTTTTGCTCTGTCTGTCTTTTTGACTCTGTCTCTTTTTGTTTTTGTCTCTGTCTTTTTGTCTCTGTCTTTTGTCTCTGTCTTTTGTCTCTGTCTTTTTGTCTCTGTCTCTCTTTGTCTCTGTCTTTTTGTCTCTGTCTTTTGTCTCTGTCTTTTTGTCTCTGTCTCTCTTTGTCTCTGTCTTTTTTCTCTGCCTTTTTGTCTCTGTCTCTCTTTGTCTCTGTCTTTTTGTCTCTGTCTTTTGTCTCTGTCTTTTTGTCTCTGTCTCTCTTTGTCTC